AACTAGTGTGGTCTGTACTGCACTGGTTCAGCTCCTCCCGCTATGCTCTCCATGAATGCCAAACCCTTTGGCATGCAAGATGTAAATTCTTTGGGATTGAACTTGAAGGCTTCATGAAGGGACAGCTTGACCAACTTCATTACTATCAAAATGCATTTCCTTTCCTTCAGCTGACATGACTTCCCACTGCAGCACTGACAACAGTGTCCTGGATAGGAGGGTGCACCAGCTAATATGTATTTACTGTGCTGAAACGCCTATCGCTGAAGCTTTCTCCGAATATTACACAAAGGTGGATTACAGGGAAGTTGGGAACCTCGAGCCTGAAATTGCTTTTAAGCGTATTCTTTTAATCTTTCTAAGTGATGTTCAGACTTTCCCTGCAATTATTGGCACATTCAATACTTTGGTCAAATCAGACTTGTAGCTCAGCATATTTCTAATAGCCACAGATGGAAAAAATACTGATTGAAAGCTATTAAGATTCATCCTCACTGGAAGACTAGTTGTTGGTTTTTTTCAAATAGTGAGGGCAAAACCTTTTTTCTTTTCACGACAAGTTTCAGATACATAAAGCAAGTGTGGTTCTACAGCAGGTTCTATGGAGCTAGGAAATAAATGGCAGCAGGCATATAAAGAAGGTGTATGGGAAAGCCTACTTCACCTACTAGCTGGAGAGTAGGGGGTTCTACTAGCAAGGGGTTCAGTAGCTCTTCAAAAACTTTTGTATATCCAGATAACCTGGATATACAAATATATAGAGAAATATGTAGCTGTACACAATATCTATAAATGTAGATATTTATCTGCAGGTAAGTGTTCAGTCCTCTTTCAGTTCTCAATTCTTACCTTTCAGTGTTGACAGAGCCTGTTGTTTTGGGGAATTATCTGTCTCAACTCAGCTGCTTAATTTTGAACTTGTTCTTGCGTTGTTTGAAAAAAATCAGATTGACACTCTGAACCTATCCGTTCTGTGCCACTCATTATTTACATGTGCCTGTCCTGGTTCCTCTTTTTTTTTTTTTTTGTCTCCTGTGACAGCTCCAAAATTTTCACTCTATCTGTGGAGGAAAGATTTTCTCCCTCTTTCTGGATTGCAAGCTGCTAGCTAGTCAGAGACCAGGCTAGAGAGAGGAGAAGAAATGGGGACTCTCCTTATAGGCAATGACTAAAACAGATTGTTGTTTTTAGTGGTGACAGAAATAGGCAATTAGGTTCTCTTAGCCACCCTGAACATTTTGGTCAGAGAAAAAAAAAAATCTGTTAAAAGGTGCTAAACTCAACATGTCCGTATGAGAAGTTTCTTACTGATTTCGTAAGGTAAGGAATGGTAAGGACTCTTTACCATATTTTTTTCCCCAAAAAACCTGCAGGGGGGACTTTGCTACACTTTGAATTAACTTGAGGTGTATGCATGGAGCTGGTGAGGTCAGGATCACTGTGCAGAAGGCTACTACTCTTTAGCCCAGACAAGACTACATAAAAAGCATCCTTTGACAGTTGCCTACCGCTTCCAGGAGCGCTCCCTTCTTTTCTCATTAATTCATTTGCATTCATGGCTGCTCCTGTATGCCAATTAGCTTTAATTTTTACTATACACACTGACATCAATGGCCAATGAGAACAGTGTGTAGCGGGTTTTTTAGTGTGCCTATAAACTACAGAAAATTGTCCTTGGACAAACTCCTGCTTTTAGACTGGCTGACAACAATAGACATGGTTAAGTTCAGGCTAAGAGCCATTAAACATAATTACTACCACAGGGTAAAAGTTTAATTGTGCTAAATTTTAAATCTGCATAGTCTATGCTTATTTACAAGCTGGCTAGGTCTTTCTGTTACATAAGGGGGAATAAATATGTACTTAAAAATTGTTGCCTTTTAACTTCAAAGGGAGATGGGGGAAAAAAAAAAAAAAAAAAAAAGGTTTTTTAGAAGAAGCAAAACAACTCCAAACTAAAACCTTTCCGTATTTCCAGCTTCTTTTATTCCAATGGCACCAAGCTGGTAAGTAGATGAGGAGCATCTGATAGATTTTTCTAATGCGCTTCAACTTTGTGTGTGTGAATGTGCGAGAGAGTATTGCATCTGTTATGAAGGTGTCTGGGGGACTGAATGCAGATCAGTTTGTTCATGTGGGGTTATTTTAAATTTAACCACAGATGGGGCTTGGGGTAGAAGATTTTTCTCCTGCTCCTTGTCTTCTCTCCCTCCTCCAATAATGTTAAACTCCCACCTCAGAAAGTTTCAGCTCAAGTACCTTCTGGGTAAGTAGATATCAGAGGTGGCAGGTTTTTTACAAGCAAACAAAAAAGGCAAAAGCCTGTGTTCATTTTACTTTTTCTTCCAGCAGATTAATAAAAAAATCATGTTCACTGAGCTATAAGTTACAGTGTATTTTTAGAAGCACGGTGAATATACAGTGCTCTAAATCACTCCCTGAAAAGCAGATTAAAATTAGGAAGTGCTAGAATAAGTGTGAAATGTTCATCTGTTGGGAAAGGGAGGGTATGGAGGACTGTGAAACTTGATAGAAGAGAAAAAGATCAGCACGCTGACTAGCTGGAAGCTATGTTTATGTAGACATTAGAAGGCAACACGATTTCAGCTGGACAGAACATAAGCCTCAGATCTTATGCAAACAGTCAAATCTGTTTAACAATTGGTTTACCCCCAAAACCCCTGAAAGGAGACAGGTGAATACGATGCCAAATACATTTTTCATGTTTCTTAAGCTAACTGTTTAAATAGTTAAGTGAACATCTGTCCAAATTTCCCCATCATTTCCATTTAGAAAAGTCTCCCATTTGAAGGCTGAAGAAAAGCGCCTGCTTAACAATGCAAATGGTGCTGTCTGGGGCCCCTTTATTTTGTTTAATCTAGATTGAGCTCCACACAACTGTGATGCTAATGAATAATGGATATTTTATACTTGTGCATGTAGCAGTGCTGGGCACAGAGCAAATCTAGGATTAACCTCCCAGTTTCCCTTCCTAACATATTGGACTCAGGTTTTGAGTTTGCTGTGACTTGGGTACTCTAAAAACGGATGCTGGCTTTTATGGAAAATGGCAAAACTCCGGCAAAAGCTGTCAGGTTTTGCTATGCCCAAGTGAGGTACTGTAGAAGGGGGGCAGCTACGCTGAGGAGAGGAGGGGAGGGAAGGGAAGGAGGAATGTCTGTATTAATGGCTTGATTTGTGAGTGGGTACTGAATAAGAGTCAGGGCGTTTTGGGGTGGAGACCTGTATGCTTTTCAGTGCCACATTTTTTCAGACCGGTCTGCTGGCGTTAGGCAGCCCAGCACCGTGCTCAGCTGCCTCCCCTGCCTGCCTGCATGAGCAGGAGTGAGCCGGAGCCAGCTCGCAGGGAGAAAGGGGCTGCCCCACGACTGATTACATGGTCTGAATTTGCCAGTGCAAACTATATAGCTGGGTTTTCACTCTGCCTTTCAGCCTTCACATGATGGAGTCATAGGGGAAGAAATTTTGGTACTCCCTTTGTGATTTTTCTGTCCTGCACAAGCGTTTCTGTATTTGTTTGCGTTGTTTAACTTTCAGGGAAAAAGTAGTGCTGTTTCTTCATAGGAAGTCTTGGGGTTTTCCAGCCAGGCCTAATGAAAGACCACTGATACCACTTCTAATGAAAAATAAGGGTAGCCTTTTTTCGTAGCTGAAGAGCGAGCTGACTTCGGTAGCACAGCACTGTAGGAGGGTGGGAGAGTTTTGTGGAGGTTTCTATAACATTGCTGGGTGTTTTAATCCACAATTACTGGCCAGTAATAATTAGTATTGATTAGCTTGGCAAATTGCAGGTTTAGAAATTGGTTATAGATTTTCTGATGCTTCTCATCTGCGTGTTGTGGAATCAGCCAGAACCAATGGCTTGAAACAAACCACGAGCCCAAATCTGTCTGCAGGCAGCGACGCGTTGCATGCGCAGAGCTAAGGGTCAGCAGGAATCATATGTCTTGAGGCTCATCGCCCCAAGAGTATGATTTTTATCATCTCCTAAGCAAAGTAACTAACCACATGCATATTGACCACAGTCTCAGGTGAAGCTTGGTTTTGTTGGCCTGTTGATTTGTGCCCCAGGTGGTTCGTGTGGCTTTAACGTCGCAGTGGCGTGCTGCCCCCGGCGTGTGCGGGGGTCTGCAGAGACGTCTTGGAGAAGGAAGCTGGGGGAAGGATGCTGCAGTCTTGGTTGAGTCCCCCGGCGGGAGCTGTAACAGCAGCAGACATCTGGGGAGACAGATAGTGAAAGCCAAGATGAAAATGGCAAAGCTTCCAGTGCTGAAGGGTTGTCCTGGAGGACCAGGGAGCTGAAGTGGAACGGCTGAGCATGCTGTTCAGGCTGTGGTGGAAGGGCTTAGCTGGCTCCCGGGAGGGGCATGGAGGCAGGAGGAGGGGGGCACAGCCAGGGAGGAGGGCTTGCTCTCTGAGATGCCTCACAAAATGCTTGTGTACTCATTGCAAGAGAAATTGTGCTTTTTCGTTTTAAACAGCAGGTAAGTGAGGTTCTTCCTGAGCTATATTATAGCGTTGCCTGCCAGGGTTGGCAAAGTTTGCAGGTCTTCTGCGTCTTGCTACGAGAGGCTGCCAGCCTGTCCCTCCGTTAGGTTGCAGCCAAGCACAGACGGGGCAAGTGCATGTGGAGGAGGATGGACGGCTCCGAGCACCTACCCCACTGCTGCAGAGAGGCAGATAGTTTTTGACTGAAATTTTGTGAGCCCCAAAATAGTGCTCTAAGTGTTTAATGCTTTTCTCCATTAGACAGCAAATTAGCCCTAGGCTCACAAACCAAATGAAGTTTCATCTCAACAATCGGAGCCTGCTCACCAGGCAGTTTTATCCCAAGTTCCTGCACACTGGTTGGTCAGCGAAATGGAGACTGCAACTTCTATTTATTGGTGCAATACAGTATTTGATACTGCTAATTACACTTAATTAGTCCTTCCACCATTTAATTAAAATGGCTTCTAATGATTGTGCTTCTTTGGCAGGCTCTTTGGTACCACCGGGAATTGTGCTGCCTGCAGTAAACTGATCCCTGCCTTTGAGATGGTGATGAGGGCCAGAGATAATGTTTACCATTTGGACTGCTTTGCCTGTCAGCTCTGCAACCAGCGGTGAGGACACAGTTATTATACACACAAACACAAACTAATTTATACCTTTGCCTGCAAAACAGGGGAAATGTTTGATCCGCACTACCTGTCTGGGGCTCACAGCCTGCTGGTGTGGCTCAGGCTGGTTTATTAGGCTGACCTGGGTGATGCATGTACCTGTAGCTCCTGTACTGCAAATCCCCTTGGAGCTGGTGGGAGTTGGAGGGGCGAGGGGGAGCACACAGACTGCAGATCTGGCTATGGTTATACAGCAGCACAGCTGCTGCTGAATAAAACAAACTGCTTCAGCGTCCTTTCAGGAGCTGCCCTCTTTGCAGAACACAGACGATGGAGAATGGACCTCCTCTGGCAAACTGATGTTATTTTTGCTTAAATCATATTTCTGACACGCTCAAAACTGGGGATGGTGAAGAAGGAGGAGAAAGAGAAGGGACAGGAAGGAGAAAAATACTCCACATAAACCCTTTCCAACACTAGGAACATATACCTTTAGTTGTTGTATAGTAAATAGGGGATCTTAGTGGTGTAATTTTGAGTGAGGCTTGTGTATTTCTGCTGGGTTTTACCCAGTGGAAAATGCACATCAAGGAGAATAATAGAGAGTTTTCACTTGGGCTACCTGTAACCAGCTGAATTTGGGAGGGCTGTGAAAAATATTCCCGGCACCCTGTTTGTTGGTCATTGTAGGCAGAATGGAAGCCCACAGAACCAGATGTGGTAGTGTTGCCTTCTGATGCATCCATCCATTCTTGTGCAAGACAGGCCTGGAAGTGCTTGTTGTTCTTACTGCTTGTTTAGTCAGGCTGTAGTGAATGGCCAGGACTCAAGGGTTGTGCTGGGGTTCCTGTTCTGGAGTTGTGGTTGTGTTTCCCAAAGATGAAACTAGGAGACACCCGTGTGACGGTGTGTTCGAGAAAACAAAACTCTTGGGAAGATAGAGAGTGTAATTCTGTAAAAGTCAAGCTAAAAGCCTGACTTAAAAAATCATCACTCACCCTAGAACAAAAGACACGGCAGGATCTCTAATGAAGTAGCCGTACACACTGCGTGTGTGGATACAAACCCCTGCCACCTTTCCCAGTAAGCTTAGGAGACCGTGCAAACTGGGGGCTGATTCTCCTGCCATGCCCTCTGACGGTGCCTTAGTTCATGGGGATGAATGGGGCTGCACCTGGTTGGTGCCAGAGCAGGGAAGAGGAGAACCGGGCAAGCTGTCTGTCGCTCGGTTGGCGTTACTCAGTCCCGTTACGTTTGTTCGAGGTAGAAAACCAAGGAATGGTGGTGGGCCCACGGGCTGGGTGGCAGCGCCGAGGCGGCAGTGACATCTAGTGGCTCCTGGCCTGGGGCCGCTTCCCCGCAGCCGCGCTCCGTCTGCCAGTTGCCCGCTCTTGCGTTGCCACTCTGGAACGTGCTCCTGAAACGGCCGCGATTCCCCAGCAGCAGCGTGACGCTGCCTGCTGATGCGTTTCTTCCCCAAAGATGGTCTGTCTTCACACAGCTGGAATCGCTGGTGCTCGTGGGGTTTGTTTCCAGACTCGGCAGCGATGCGGGGCGCTGCCAGGCGCAGCCCTCGGGCTCAGCTTGCTTCAGCCTGAGGATGAAAGCCAGGCAGGAGAGGGGTGCTCCCAGGCTCCCCGCCGCTGCTGGGGCTAGAGAGAGCATCACAGATGTCCCTTCTGGCAGGGGCAAGTCACAGCCCTGAGCTGCACAGGCAGGAGTGCTGGGCTGGCCCTGGAGTCTGTAGGGTGAGTGTTTGTCAACAAACCCCTACTTTATCCTAGCTTCTCTCTTGGAAAAGCCTAGTACCACCTAGTTTTCATTTTCAGAAATTTCCTTTAAATTTCACCCTTTATTACGAAGGCTCCAAAGCACCTCTCTTCTCTCCGCCACTGCTAACACTGTTACTGCACTCAGCGCAAAGTGCAGTCCTACTCTGCCCTTTAAGTAACCTCCATGTACTGTCAGTGCCTGGCAGGAAAGCGCAGATAATCCCCCTGTTCTGGCCAAGTCCTGCTTTGATGCACAAAGTATTTGCCCAGTTTGGGAGGAGCTGAGTTTTTCTGAAAGATGGGCTGAGTAGACAGCGTAGAGCTAAGTGTAGATGTTATTTTTGGCTGAGATCAGAAGGCTGCTAATTTTTATGACCTATCCTCTAGAGATTTTGGCCTGAAAGCGTAGAATGGAAGTGCTCCTGTAACAGACAACATTGGAAGCTGAACTGAGAACAGTGAGTTTAAGTAACCCTAAAGTCAAAACTGCAGAGGTGGATGCCAAAACTAGTTCTGAATAAGAAATCCCACCTGAAACACCACCTCCTTCTTTAGCTGTGAAAAGATTTGATTATGAAAACCTTTCTCTAGTTCTCTTCCAGCTTACTTGCCCTTTTGTAGCTAGACTCTGTGTAGAGTGTTAGATCCATCAGAGCAAAATCTCTAATATTTTTGTCGAGTGTGCAGTGTTTTCATTAGCTTCATTCTCCAAAACATCAGGTTTGCAGCAAGTCCCACAACGCTACTCAGCCTACAGTGCTTTAAACTGTTCCAAGGTCAACACTGCTTGTCACAATACTGAATAAAAGTTGGTCACCGCTGTAAGTGGCTAATAGGTCAGTATTACAAGGGTTGCAGGAAATCCAGCCGCTTGTGTTGCCATTATTGAAAATGTAGTTTTGCTCAGAAGAAAATCACTCTGTAGAAATGGCAGGGTATGTTCAGTGCCCGTTTCTTGCTGCTGCTGGCTGGAACTCGATTGGCCAGACGGCCGCTGCGACAGACCTGCTCCGAGCATGGGGGCTGGCGCTGCCACCCCTCGTCTCGCTCGGAACAGACCTCTGGGCTGAGACACACACAACTGGCTCTGAAACTGCCCTGCTAAATCCTGTCTCTAGTTGTGATGCATCAGCTGAAGAGATCCCAGTTTACTGCTGGGTTTGCAAGACTGGCAGGTCTGGAATAGTCTCTTTTCCAGTGAATCGAGCCCTTCTCCCCAAACTTCACAGGGTCTCAGGGTAACCCTGCTGTGCGTTCTAGTTCACACACACACACCCCCAACTCCCTAGTTCTCCAGCTCCTCTGGCTCCTCTAGACCCAAACCAGGTTTAGCAAGAGACAGCTGTTGATGATGCTGGTGGCAAGAGTAATTTTTGTATTTCTTTTCCTGGAGATTTATATTGTACTTGAAGTAGGGATAAGTAGCAAAAAGCAAGCAGCTGTCTGTTATTTATAGTGAGTAAACCTAGTGGTGGGGAAGGTGGTGTTAAGAAGAGTGTGTGCAATACAGTTTTTTAGCATAAAAGCCATTATTTTAAATTGAGATTATTTTTTAGTATATAAAAAAAGGTTGAATTTCTGTACTACTAAAGCATGTGTCACAGAGGGAAGATGGAAGGTCTCCAGTGAAATCATATAAAGTGAGAACCAATGCCCAGTTCTCTGTATTGATTTGGCAAATTAATCAGCTTATTTGCAGGTGTCCAGTTGGAGAAAACTTGTACCCATGTCAGACCTATAAAGGAACTCTAAAATGATCAGTCCTGTTCCTGTAGCAGAAAAATACTCAGTTTTATGGAGACGCTCTGCCCGAAGCTGCCTGAGTTACAAATCTAGAAGGCATTTTAGATAAGGAGTAGGCGATGTTGCTGCCAAAGCTCTGCCTGGGAGCAGAGGAGATGGCCATTTGAGGTCTGCTAAGTCTCCTGAGGATGGGGTCATCTCCACTGATCTTCCTTCAAAGCTCAGTAAATATTTGGCCTCTCCGGAGGCGGTACTTACCCGTTCCTCTCCGTTCAGAGCTGCCTTTAGGCAGAGTGCCCAGGGTGCGCCTCTGCTTTAGGGACCTGGCGCTGATTTAAGACTGGTTCTTGGGGCAGGGAGGCACAGCCCTGTGCTCTGTGTGTGATGGACCAAAACCAGCCCCTGAATTGGGTGCAAAGAGCATTATTTGTTTTCTTAAGAAGTAAAGATTAGCTTCTGATTCTTGAGCAAGCAAACAGGGGGAAAAAAGCTATTGGCTGTCAATTCACACCTCTCAGATCTTATATCTGGAACTTTTTTGACCTTAATGGTCAAATAAAATTGTTAAATATCACAAGCCTCTCTGTCAACTTCAAGACAAACAGAACAATTTACATGGTATATAGAGAGCAGTGCCCTTCGCTCAATGAAGATAAAGGTTAGGAGTCCAGCCACCAGGAAATTTCTATTTATTGTTCAGCACTGTACACAAGGGGGTGAGGAAGGACTTAATAGCCAGTCCTTCCCTGGAAATTAGTGTAAATACTGCCTCACCCGAGGGAACCGTGGAAATGTGGATACCAGCAAAAACTTCAAATAGTCTCTGTGTAATATCGCCCATTTGATTTCCCGGTTGTAGAGCCGACACCTCTGGTCTGCAGGGACAACTCCCTTATTTGCCCCCGGCCGCCTCCTGCCGCTGGCGTGGGACCCAGCAGAGGCCAGCTTCTGAGCTGCTTCATTCACCCGTGGCCTGGGAGCTGAGCACCCCTGTGCTGGGAGGAGGGACGGCAAAACCCGCGGGCGCCTGCCGGGAAGGGGAGCGGGGGAGAAGCAGGTGGGCTTTCCTGGGGTGCCACGCCATCGGCGGAGCTGGAAATCAAACTCCCGTCCCCAGAGTCACCTTCAGACCCAGCCAGCCTCAAATCCCCCCTGTTCTCTAACCTCTGTTCATACTTATATCCGTTAATTCTTTTTATCTTCCAGATTCTGTGTGGGAGACAAATTTTTCCTGAAGAACAACATGATCTTGTGTCAGATGGACTATGAGGAAGGGCAGCTGAACGGGAGCTTCGAGTCCCAGGTTCAATAACAAACCCTGCTTCACTGAAGCACTGTGGGATGGGCACTCGGCCGCGCCAGCAGCGAGGGCGCCTGTCAGCTTGCCTGCAATATTTTTTTAATTCTTGGTCCAGGGAGGACTATATACATTGTAGTACTTTTCCCCCCCAACACAAAGCAGTTACAATTTTAGATGTACAGTTGTGCCTGCTTAGCTGAGCACTGCATTGCCTGTATGTTTGTGAGTTTTTGGGGTCTGGGGGAGGGCTCTGTACAGTCTGTTTTCTGTATATAAACTGGAACATTTATTTTATGAAAAATGTAATGCAATTTTATTACTGGTGTGAATTAAAAATTATGAATGTTTCCTGGTCATCTTAGCTGTGGTTTTTCCCCACGCGGTGACAGCCTGTATTTCCTGTGCTTGATGTTGAGCAGACTATTAGAAATCTATACACGGATCCCTGGAAACTGCATGAATACAGACAGAGGCAGGAGTCCACAGGCACAAACTGAGGGAAGAAATGCTGCTGCAGTTAGACCTCTCCGCTTGAACCAGGGAGAGACTTGTGTCGAAACGCCTGCGGTGATGTACAGGGAGAGGGATGGAGCTGTGGGCACCGTCGGTGTGGCTGGCCGCATCCCACCGAGGCTGCTGTGCCATGCTGAGTCGCTGGCTCAGAGGCGTCTCGCTTTTCACCTCTGTGCATTTAGAGAGAGCGTTTCCAGGGCCAGGAGTGCTTGTTGGCCGACGGATACGGTGCCTGCAGTCTGGGCTGCGAGGAACAGGCTCCCTCCAGCCCTGCCAACAGGTGCCCAGGCATTGATCAGAATATTTATTTCACGGCTTTGATAGGCGGCAGGGTTTTCCTGTGGGGCGTCGCTTGTCCAGGTCTGAGCTGCTGCGAGAGCTGATGTCAGGGTTCAAGCGCATCTGGGCGCTGACGCAGCATCCCTTTTCACAGCCCTTTCTGCCTCTGCCAGGTGCTTTGACCTCCCACGTAACGAAAGCGATCGGATTTGAAGCATCTCCCATAGAAAAGCTCTGATCTGTGTTCCTGCTGCGATGCTTTGTGCAATGATTTTCAAGGTTATGCAATTCATGTGCAACCCACTGGACTGGACCAAACACATTTCTTTGTACGGTGAGTGTCACTTTAATACAGTGCACCAGTAGCTGTAAAGGATGGCTGCAATTCTATTTATTTCATCTTCTTGGTTTTTCTTAGATTTACCTCTCTTTCCTCTAATAAATAGACACCAAGTACTTCTTTTCTGATGTGACTTAATCGGTTACCAGTCCCAGGTCACATGTGTGTTCTCTGAATTGCAAATGCCAAATGCAGTGCAGCTCTGCCTGTTGCATAAAATGCTTTTATGTACATCTGGGTTGAGTAATGGCTGAACAGAAGCAAAACACTACTAGGAACTTCCTATGCTTCAAAATATCACCTGTCATCTCAAGCTACCTCAGACATGTGAATTGAATGATTTTTCTTCATAGACATTTTGGGTTGGGAGACCCATTATAAAATGCGTGGCCCCATCCCCTTTTATTCCCATAAAAATGGAATAGCAATTAAAACACCACCTGTAGCCTCCTGTGGATAGGTAGCATTTTAATTGCTGTTCCATTTTAGTGCCTTTTGGGGCTGGGAGGTGTCTTTTGAGAAACTGTAGAGTTGATGCTCTTTTTGCAGAGGCTGTTGCAGGTGGCTACAGTGGGGCTACTGAAGGAGCCGCTTGTTGCCCAAACGTTTTGATGCCTTGCTTCGAAGCTGCTAGCCAGTTGCTGCCTGTGCTCCTGGATGATGGCTGCCCACCTGCCTGTGGGGCTTGCTGTAATTCAGCACACAATGTCAGCATGCAGGTACTGTGCCATGGTGAGGATGGGAGCAATAAAACCAAACAGAAACCAGAACGCCTCACTAAACAAGCTGGGGGTTTTATTCAGATTTAGTTCAGATTCTTAAGGAGAGTTTTGGTACCAGTTTAAAAACTTAGAGAAGGGTACTTAAACCTTCTAGAAGTTTTTTTTTTTTCTTGGCTTAGGTGATCTCCTTGCTTCAGAAAGGAGGAGGAAAGTGTAACACTTCAGAGCTGCTTGGCTAATGCCAGCTGATGGATCTGCAGCTGCCAGATCTCTCATACATTGCTGGGAAAGCCACAGAAATGTCACCCCAGAGGCGGGAGCATGCTGGAGGAGAGAGTTGCTTGTGTGGGAAATCCCATTCTACCATGGGATGAATACAAATGGCACTTGGCTGGTGTGGGCCATGTCTTGCTGTGTACATGCATCCCCACACCGGCTCTGCAGGGGAGGTGTGTCTGAGCTGGGCCTGTTGGGATGTGTCAGCAAATCCAGCAGAATGATGGAGCAGAAGATAGCCCAGAACTTGGAGAAGAAAGGACTGGTTAAATGGGACAAAGTAACCAGTAAGTTGAAAAAGCTATTGTAAGGTCTAGTTGTAGTGGTTGCCATCTGTGTGGTACTGGCAGGATGGCAATGGGGTGTAGAGGAAGCCTGGAGCCAGGATGAGACACGGTTAGCGATGTCAGCAGAGAGCAGGGAGCACCCAGAGGTCCAGTGGGCACAGGGGACGTCACCAGCACAACATGGGTCTCTCCTCCTGGGGAGAGGTAAACATCAGGGTGGTGTATTTTGAGAGACTGAACCCACATGAAGAGCGCCCTTGACTCCAGAGCCAGGCGGGAACTGAGCCCTGCACACCCCAGCTGGAGCACAGCAGGAAGCTCGGCCGGTACCGGCCTGCACCACGAAGGAACGACTTCCAGTCATGCACACTTGGGTGCCAACGTCTCTTTAGTTTGCTCAGTGGTCTCTGACATGAGCCAGTCTGGAGCCCTCCCTTGCTACTGTGATGGCAGCACAGACAGGCTCGCACCTTAAGACGCTCTTCTGTTCAGTGAAGATGTGGGGGATTAGTTACACCCCGGGCCATGATTCACCTGTGATGGCATCTTGTTGCCTCCGTGCACTTGTCCTTGCCGTGAAATGCAGGCAGTGCTCCCCTGCCTGGGTGAAGGGGCTTCATTTCCGATGGGCAGACCTCTTGATTTGTCACCAGGGCTGTAGAGCCAATTCCTGATACCTAACGAGGAATTTCATGATGTTATTTCATGCAAAAGCCCCAGATGGTGGCTGGGTGGGTGGGAGGAAAGCCTGGGACAGGACATGGCTTCTTGCTGTTCAGTGGGGTGCAGCAAATGTCCAGTTGTCTTATATTTTAAAAAAAATAATACAAGGGAGAAATTGTGCAGCATCTGTATCCCTCTTTTCTGTGTCTGCACAGCAGACAAGGCCCACCTGCCACAGCCCATGCCCCAGAGGGCATTGGAAGTGTCATTTCTTTAAAAATAAAAATCCCAGGAGGACAATGCAATCATGAATTTTTGTCTGAACGCTGCAAATTTTCTTAACAGAAACAAGTGCTGGAGTGCAGACCTGCTGTTGAATAATCACTTCCACTCTACGGAGCAGAGCACAGAAACCTTTTGATGGTGTTATAGTCATCACTTGGCATAAATATTCATTCAAGGAATCAGAGCAGAGTAAATGGCATTTTAGTCTCTAATCATTTAGTATTAGCAGATAGCCTTTTTACTGCTAAAGATAACCACTGCTTAATCAGTTTAGTGACCACTGGCATATAGTATGACATTTAAGCTTGTGCCTCAGTCCCTGCATTGAGGACATGGCTGCTGGTGACCCCTCTGTCCAAGTCTCCATTGTTCCCAAAGTCATCCCAGCCACTGCCAGCTGCCAACTGCACGCAACTGGCTTTAACTTCCAAATTATCTGCCATTTGCCTCCTTATCTTAGATCAAAGTGGTATTTTAAGTTCATACTACAAATGTTAAAATGTAGGATCTTTTCTCTCTTTCTTTTTGTAGTCGGGGCTAATGGCTGATCACAGCACAGTCTGATTTTGAGATTAAAAACAAGCCAGTATTTAAAGGCAATCAAAATCTCAAGCTTCTTCTCCATTCATCTTTAATGCTGGTGTAATTGCTGCACAGATTCTGGCTCTTCCTCCAGACTTTTTTTTTTTTTTTTTTTTTTTTGTGCGTGCCTCTGTCTTTCAGAGGGATGTTATACTTCCCTGAGCAGCATCAGCGCTATTGAGCACTCTGCTATCGACAATCCAGCTCACCCGATTTCATGTCTTGCCAAACAAGTTAATCTAATATTAACAGCAGTTTGTTACCTCGTTGTTAGCTTAATTTACTTTACAAGAAATGCTATATTTGCATTTCATCCCTCTGTCACTGGCTTGCAAACCGTGCTTCCCAGTGCCAAGAAGGGATGGTTCACACCCTTTTGCGCGAGTCCCTCAGCGTGCGTTGCTGCGCAGAGGAGGGGGCCATCACCCCAACCAGGCATTTTCGCTAATTGGCCCGGGGCGAGGGGGGGGCGATGTGGGGAGTTGGAAGGAAGGTTTCGAAAGCCATCGAGCAGGTCCTGGAAATGCAATATTCACAATAGCACAAATACCGCTGCTGCTCTTCCAGTAATATAGCTGAGTCGTAGACAGTAGTTTTCCCTGGTGGCAAACATATACAGTAAATGTCTTTAGTATGGAAATCAGCAGACATATGGGCACACAGCAGCAGACATTTGCAACACCAACAGGTTCTTCAGGCTTTTAGGGGGTGCTCCCGTGCCAGGACTCACCAAGGTCTCTTTGCCATCGTGGCAAGCCCTGTACCTCACTTCCAAATAGCTGGGCGTGGGATGGGACAGGCGGGACGGCACAAACTGTGAGCAAAGCCCTTCAAGCAGTTGCTCAAAAGCCGCTTCCCCAGCCGACCCAGCTCCCAGGCCTTGGCACCTCTCAGACGAGAAGGCTTTTCCCCAGCAGCCCCACAGAGCCATGCCAGCTCTGGATTCAGGAAGGGTGGTGAGACGGGACTGGGGATGCCTCACAGAGGCATCAGTGACTCAGTGCCTGGGGGCTGGTTCCCCCTAGATGAGAGGATGTGGTGTTGCTGGTGATGGAGGTGGCTTTTGCAAGTGTTAATTTCTGGGTTAATTCTTGACCAGTTCACTATGTGCCGCATTGCTAAACTCTGTCCTTAAATATAGGACACTGGCTTTCCACCTGCTCTAGCGATCGCTGCCTGCCATGGTACTGGCCAGCAAGTGGCGGAGTTGCCTCCACTGAGTTTGTAATATTATTTACAAAAGGGAAGGGACAGCAAAGGGGTGATGCCACTGATGCCCCCCAGCATCAGCCTCTTGCACAAAAATGGTCTTTTTAGCAGAGGGGGAAGGTTGCAAACATTTTTCTAGGAGAGTCCATTTGGATGCAGGGTTGGTTCCTGGCTGCTGGTCCCACCACACCCTGACT